AACCACGATATTTACTGTTAGACAATTAAAGTGGATATTTGAAAAAAAAAAAATCTTTAACTAAACAATTACTTTGACGATGAATTGAAACCTTAAAAGACTATTTTATAATAATGTTTTGTAGGACTAAATGCACAGAGATGTTACAAATCTACTTTATATATTTAGATGTTGGATTCTATTCACCAATGGTTAGAATGTTGGACTAAAATTTATCATTTATTGCTACAAAAATGTTATGATAGTTCATTCTATATTATTTTATGAATAGTTATAATGATTGTATTCAACATAATTAATCTATGTAACTATATATTACATTGTTCAAATGCCTTTTTCGTATGTGTCAATTTAATATTTATTAATTTCAAAATAGATTTTTTTATAAAATATATCAAAATATCATTCAACCAAAAATAATCAAACCAATTGATGAATAATCAAAGAATATACAAATGAGGAACGGATTGAAATGGCTAATTTGAAGATTTCATCTTCTTATTAATTAATAACATCATTAAAAAATATATACAAATGTTTTGTTACTGTTTATTAATAATCAACATTTATTTTTACATATTGGTATTGAATTAACAATTATATACATTATTAAGAAGTACTTATACGTTTAAAGATTGTGTATAATAAAAAATATAAATTAAACTTTATTCTATTTGTTGTGCTGATTCAGTACTAATATTTTGTTATTGACTCTAAAAAAACAATATTATAGTATTTTATTTGTTTATTTCATCTCTGCTGGAAAACACAGAAAACAACCTACAATTTCAAAATTTATATACCAACAACTTGCTGCTATTTTCTTTATTATTATTATTTGAAGAAAATTTGGACCATTTTTGCCTTAACAGTATATTAAAATTAAACATTTTAAAGGTAATTTAATTTGTGTAAGAAATTAAAAAATCTTGGCCACTAGATGTTGCTTATTCATTAAGGAAGTAAGAACAGGAAGATTATCAGTTGTCAAACAGTCATAGGTTACATAGTGTGTTAAAGAGTTTGAATTGAGTTAGGATACTATCTGTTAACGTCAAATATATTTGGTGACAAACGTTTCTTTGTATAAAAGGACAAAAGGACACGAGGCCAGAAAAGTGAAACTTGTAGGCTTAATGATTAAATAAAACTTTTTTAAAAAATAATTATTAAATTAAATTAAAATAAAAACTTATTCCCTGACTTGGGGTCTTTTTTTGCCACATCAGCATGTATTTCTCGTATACTAATCAGATAAAAATAATTTTTTTTATTTTAAATTTAATTATTTCATCTAAAAGAGAGACAAAATACGCTACATATTGATATCTGTCACTCAATTCGTATACACTCAATTCGTATATATCAGAGGTGAAACAATGGACAGGTGTTAAGATAATAGAAATTTGTCTCAATTCAGGATGAAAGTATAAGATTTAAACACGTGTTTAAATCTAATAACTTCGTCCACAAACAAGACGAAAAGGAGACTCATTTCATCTGCTTTCAAGATGAAAAGCATGTCATTTCGCCTATACCCTAGACGAAAGCCATTTTACCCACTAGTCCCTGCCATTTCGCTGCACCCTTTCATCTAGCCAAAATTTCCTATATAATGTTTGAAATGTGGGTTAAAATTAGCGTGAAAGTTTGAAAGGTGGGTCAAAATCAGCGTGAAATTGAAAGGGATATATCTAAATCTCAAATTGAAAGTGATTCAAACAGTTTGAAGATTGAAAGCAAATTTTTGAGGTTAGTAAATTTTGAAACTTTTTTTAATATTTTAGTTATTAAAAAGTTTTAATTATTATAAATAGAGATAGTTAAAATTTATGAATATTTAATAAATATATTTTTGTGTATATTGAAATTAAAAATTAATATTTTAGATAATTATAAAAAAATTATAAAAGTTTAGTAGATATTTAATATAAACTTGTTTAATTAAAAAAATAATGTTATATTTATTGTGAATATTTTATTATAAAATATAACATTTTTTATAATATTAAAATGATGTGAAAAATAATAATATGTTTGTGTGTTACAAATAAATTATTTATATTATTTATATAAATAAGTGTAATTGTAAATAATTATTGATATGTTTTTTTTATAAATGCAGGATGAATGAGATTATTATTATTGTATATTGGAATGAAAAAATTGTTGTTGAAAATGAAGATGTGACATTTGAAGATAACAAAAAAATGACAAAGATAAGAAGATGGATAAGTTATATGAATTTAAAGAAAAAGATTTATGACAAGTTAAATTTTAGTAATAATCATGTCATATCTAGAATAATTTCTCGTTTTATGGTTGATTCAAGCGCTAAACAATACAATGCATTGGATATATGTAATGATGAAGACATTGATTGTATGATTAGTGCGTATCAACAATAAAGTATTACAAGTCTTATTGAATTATACGTGGATATTGCATTTGGTGAAAGTTCAAGAGGTGGGTCGAATATGTTGGACTTAAGCTTATCAATGTCACTGCCTAACCTTATGGAAATGGTTAATATAAATGATACAGAAGGTATGAATTATATTGTTATAATTTATTTTTAAAATTTTTTTTAGAGACAACATATATTGAATAAGTGTTTGTATTTTGAAGGATGTGAAGATCTATGCAGTTATGAAGATGAAGATGATGAAGTCAATAGTGATGATGAGACAGATAATATTGATGAAGGATATATTCCTTTAGACAACTCGTCAGATACGACATCGATGGTGATTTTGATTCAAACTTAAATTTACAACAAGAAAATGTTGGAGGTAACATTTAAAAAGTATATTAATTAAATTATTTATTTTATTTTAATGATGAATATTGTATGTTTAAATGTAGCTGTAGGTGAAATACTTTTTTGGAATGTAAGTCCACACTACAAATCTATTAATTGGGACCATACAAACCAAGAAATTGAAGCAGAAGAAATTAGTGTAGATAATTAATGGCGATTTGCGGAGAGTTGTCAAGTCAGAAGAGGAGAAATGAAGGAGGAGCGTGGGTGACCTCCCGCCAGACGACACGTGGCCCAATCAATGTGTTTCATCTCTGCGTCAGACAAAAAGACGCTTTCGTTTGACACAGAGACGAAACACGTTGATTGGGCCACGTGCCGTCTAGCAGAAAACTTTATTTCAAAATATTTTACCCTTTTTCGTCTTATCCTTATACGAAACTACTGCCGCGTGTTATGCTCCAGGTATTTCGTCCATCTTTAATACAAAATGATCAAATAAAAAATAAACAAAATTAATTTTGTCATACTTTTATATGAAATTATAGCTGACGTAGCCAAAACAATACCTTAGATAGGGAATTATTTTCTTTTTTACATTATTTTAGTAATTATTTTTTAAAATTGTATTATTTTAATCTTTAAGCCGAAACTTGTACTTGTGTAGGACTTGAAAATATGTTTTTTTTTTGGGCAAACAAAAAATTATTTTATATTTTACAAATAATTTTATCCTTTATTTTTTATTATTTTTAATCCAATTGAAAAAGTAAAGGAACATTATCGAATTTTGTTTATTTTTGGACTTGGATCATTCTTGAACAAGTGAGCCCATTAAGTCTTTATAACTAGTTTCATAAAAAATATTTGTTATTCGATCTTCTTATTAAGCACAATATTTAATTATAATGTCTTTATCTTTGATCGAGTCTCGCATGTAATGATATATATTATTGATGTTATCTTTTGTATAGATAATTGTTGTTCTACTGTCGCAAAATATCTTTGTAGAACCATTTTATTGATGTTATGGTTAGAATAATTAATGTCACTTTCAGTTCCTTAAATGGCTCAAAATCTAGAATTTGTGAAACTTTGAGGATTCTTTATGTGTTTTTATTTTATTACAATTAAAAAACATATAAAGAAGCACAAATAGTTTTGTGGCTAGCTAGTTTATTCTTTGGTCGGGGCTGTGAACTTTAATTGCATCTCAACTATTGGAGGTTAAAGAAGATATTTATTTAAGGCCCAGTTAAAAAATTTGAAAAAAATATAAACAAATATATTATAAATATGAAAATTTATTTTATATTTACATACTAGCTATAACAATATATAATAATTTGGATGTATTAAAAATTTGAATAATTGTATGTGAAATAAATATTTATAGTTTTGTCTATCTAAAAATCATAAAGGTAAAGATTTGTAAGTTTTAATATGTATAAAAATTGTATATGAGAAGGTAATTTTATCTAATAAAAAAATTGAAAATAATAAAATTATATTGAAAGTTTATAAATATAGGATAAAGTTGTGGAATAGCAAGCACCTTACATAAAAGTTATATATTTTATTTTTCTCTTTTTATTTTTCTTTATGCATCTAACTTTTAGAAATAGAAGAAGTGCATGAGTCTCTTTTCTCTCATTTATGATTGAAGACAAAAATTGTGAGACTCCATTGTATTATATTTACTCTTTTTTTTTACGATACTCACAAACAAGCACGTTGTGATAATTTACAACTAATAATAACATGTTTTATTCACTGTAATACAGTCAATAGATTAGTTTGTACAATTTTTTATGAATATTTTGAGAGATATATACTAGAAAATACCACAATACTAAAAAAAAAATAGAGATTTAATTGTGTGTTAAACAAGAAATTTTGTTAAAAATAGAATGTGCTAGTTCTTGGTAAACTGATATAACATATATTACTTAGGATATTTGCTAAAAAAGAAAAAAAAAGAACAATAGTAATACAACTTTGATAGATTAAATATATGAATATTGAATGAAAAAAAGATAAATTCAAATTGTTATTTTATGTTATTTTCTCACTTATGCTTCACTTGGTGGTATATGTAATAAAGAAATTCTAAATCAAGTAATATGGAAGAACAAGAAATGATGATATTTATGTTGCCATAAATAAAATATCTCAAAAGTTAACATAACTATTAGGTGAAGACATATATAGCTTCCATGTGAAACATTTCATGTCTAGATTAAATTTTGACATTTTCATGCGATAATTGCTTTGCCAAGTGAATGTAAAAATGTCCCATAGCCCCTGTACGAAACTCATTTTTATATCGAGACTCTAGAGTCAAGGTTTCGCCATCATTAATTTTGACTGAACCAGGTTGCGGATAACAAACAGACATTCCAACTGCATAACCTTTTTCATTTCCTGCCTCTTTTCCTGTTCCATATTTAGGTGTTGAAGTGCATAAAACTCTTCCATCCTAAATTAATAAAAAAACATATTTAGAAGTGAAGATGCATTACAACAAATAAAGAGGATATGATAATTATGGCAAATATTGTACATCACCTGTCCATAAAGAGTTGCATTGACAACACCTGTGTGCATATGAGCGGTGCCATATATGAGATAACCACCCTTTTCTAATGGGATAATTGCCTTTTGGACATGAGGAGAGTCACTACTATGATTTGCCAAAATGGTGTATTCAGCCTACAAGGAGCATTAAAAAATCTCTATTGTTCACTACTCTTAATAAAACCAAAAGACATACTACATTCATAATTAAATTTAGGTTAAATAATATACTTTTTTTTAAATGAAATATTGCCTTGAATAACTTATCTACCTGACAATCATGGATGGTTTTGGAACCGTTTGATCTCACTCTATCAGTTGAATCAAGTATGTAAACCTTAACTGGTACTTGATATTTGTCCCAATCAACCCACCTTATTTTGTATCTAATGGAAAGTCTTCTCTTTGGACCTTGAAAACCTTCTCTTAATTTGCATTGTAGGTTATCTAGACAACAAAAGAGTCCACCCTTATAATGTGTGCTCAATGGTTGGCCATGAATATCCCTTGAGACATTATAAAAGTGTTTTGGAAGATTAAAAAGGTCACATCTGCATTCACTGCAACCTTTCCTATCTTGTACCCCACGCGTATCAATGGCCATAATATTGAACAACCATTTCTCTTCATATCCTTTTGGAATTTTTGCAGGGTTACCTAGTTCTACTGCAAAAGGATCAGGAATATTTGAGATTGTTCCACGAGATTCACTTCCAAAGCCCCAATAATGTGGAAGAATATATTCATTACATGGGCCATCATTTCTTTTGTAAATAAAAGCCTCACGAAAATCTTGACTAAGCTCAGGGTGACGTGAAAAAGTAATGTTTTCAAAGTATCTTATAGCAAACCAATGATGAAAATAAGTTTCATACAAAGGTACGGAATTTCCATCTTCATCAACTAGTTCCGCATCAAAACTCTTAACTCCAATATGCCCTCTTGGAAACTCAATATTCATAAATGTTTTTGCTGCAACCAATCCTGGCCTTACTTCAAAACTCTCAGACATGAAAGTAGCTGTCTTGATATGATTTTGATAAGTTGAGTATACTATGCTTGGAAGTGACAATAGTATTGACAAAGAAATTATCATTGCTTTAAAAAATAACTTCATGTTTACCTGTACATAAACAAAAGTAGTGTTACATAATTAGGTGCAAATTAGCTATGTTTAGGATGTTATACTTTTGGATAACCTTATAGATAATTCATTAGGTGCTTGAAAAAATAAGAGTTGAAAAATACTAAGTGCTAAAACTTGGATGTTAAATATTGCATACCACATCGTGAGAAGATAAAGGATTGATCATGGCAAAGATTTGAATATGCGTGTTGAAAGTTTAAACAATTGTTGAGAATTTAATATATTGATTGGAGACAAATCTGTGCATGTATGGAGGTCTTGTATGTTACTTTTATAGTAGAATATTTTGATATGACATAGTTGGCAAAACTAAATATAGATTCAACAAGTATTTGTTTCAAAATTAAGTGATTTAAATGAAAGAGCTCAAAAATTAAATAAAATAACAACTATGCAAGCTATTATTACTTAAGTATCCAACTGTTTATAGTTATTTATAGTACATTGTGCTCATGTTAATCTAAATATGTAACTTCATTTTAATTTGAATTTTATTTTTTTTATCCACATTCACAAGCAACTTTTAATTTTTACTTTTAGCTTTATTGGGCTCATTGATAGCTAATTATGAATTTATAAACCTAATTTCTTATAAACTATTCCATAGCTCCAAAAAGAACCTGCATTGACCAAAATATGGTATTGACATTTTTTTTATAATGGATTAAAAAGTATAGATATAATTACTTAATGTTGTTAATGTATTATTTAAAAATAAATATTTTCTTTAAAGTTATATTTAAAATACACTAAATTTTTTTATAAGTATGAAATTTATACTATTTTTAATAAAAATTATGTTTAATGTTTTTCTCTTTCCTCCAAATATGATTCCCTCTCATTCCTCTCTTCTGTTACTCTTCAATATTTTAGTTCTTTTATCTTGAAAATATTATTAAAGTCAATTTTATTCTACCATTCTATTACTTGTTTTAGGTCACCATTTCTTGTTACTTTTAATTCTAAAATTTTATCTTAAAAAGATACAAAAATATAAAGTAAAAATATAAAAGTAACTAGATATAGGTTTATCTAATAACTCTTTCTTTTTTAGTTTTTGGGTTAGACTTTTGTTGCTAACCATGATAATGATTAATTTTTAAATTGTGCTAATTTTTTAGTATGTTTTTATTCATCCAAAATTATTATTATTATTATTATTATTATTATTATTATTATTATTATTTATTATTATTATTATTATATGATAAGTTATCTAATTAAAATAAGTAAATAAATAAATAAGAGGTTATAATTATAATAAAATAACTTAAAATAAATAGGATAAAATTAGTATTCACCTTAGTGGATTAAAAAGTATAGATATAATTAATGTTTTTAAAGTATTATTTAAAAAATACTATAAAAATAAATTTTTTGTTCAACTAAAACAAATTTCAAAAGTTTTTCTAATTTCTCTCTTCTCTTCATGGTGAAACTTCTAATTACTTTGATCTCCTTTTCTTTTTACTAAGTAACAACATTGTTTCACTCATTTGAATAATATTTAGTTAATGCACCATAAGTATCTTGACATTTAAAGATTAGACTAAACAGTCATTTAGATTATTGAGATAATAAGCGTCAAATATTTTAATTCTTAAAATTTTAAAAATGTCACTTTAATTTCATTTTTATCAAATATTTTAGTCTCTTGAACCAAATACTATTAATAGACAATAATAAAATAGTTAAGTAACATGTATAATTAATTATTTAGCAAAAATGACATTGTATATGATATGATATATATTTTTATTTTATTTTTGTCTTTTAAATTGTTATTTGTTTGACATCTTAATCCTTGAAATTGTCATCAATAAATATTTTAATCTTTATTTCATACCATTATTCTCATTCTTCATCAGAGGAAACTACCCTCACCATGTTGCAGATCCCTTAAAAAAAAGATTCCATGAACAACTTTTTGCTCAAAGAGAATGAATCAGGTAATTTTGTCATTGACAATACTTCTCTACCCTAAACAAACTTTACTAAAAAAAAAGGTACATAAATAAATAAAAGTTTATAAATAATATCATTAGAATTATAAAATTGACAATATCTTTCTACTAATTTTAAGTTAATATAATGTTGGTGAATGATTTTATTTTATTTTACACACTGAGTATCTTCAACTAGATAATTGAATGCAACATTTATTTGATAAGTATTTATCCTATGACTTTTAATCAAGATTTTTTTAAAAAAAAAATTGTAGAATTAATCTCAATTTTTTTGTTTAAACTTCTTTCAATTTTTATTAAACTTTTATTTTTTATATATCACGATCTAAAATTTTCAAATATTTAAATAAAATTAATACTTTTAAATAGAATAAACTATTAACGAAGAGGCCAAATTTCTTGCTTATTTTAGAAATAGCACTAGGGTAATTGACTCAAATAATTATGAAGATTAACAGTACCCATTATAAAAATTAAATAAACAAATAATGTAATTGAATATTAATTATTTTAAAATATAATTATTATATAATTCTATATTTTTATAACAAATGTTTTCTTTTTTTAAAATAAACTTACTTTATTTTTATAAATTTATTACTTTGCATCTTCGGATGTATATTTTTGTAAGGATTCACATCAAAATGCATTGAATAACAGGTACGAAAAGTACATTATCATTGTTGTTGATATGATAACTTTTAAATATATTTTAAGAATATTAATGAAAGAAATAAAAATATAAAATAATTTTTATGGAAAATATAAATCATAATAAAATTATAATTTAATTTTAATACATTAGACTTTTATTTAATTACAATATATAATGAATATAAATTTTAAATTAATTAATATATAAATTAGTAATTTGTACAGGTACAATAATTTAAAAACAAAATTTATAAATATGAAAATTTATTTTATATTTACATACTACCTATAACAATATATAATAATTTGGATGTATTAAAAATTTGAATAATTGTGTGTGAAATAAATATTTATAGTTTTGTCTATCTAAAAATCATAAAGGTAAAGATTTGTAAGTTTTAAAAAATATATAAAAATTGTATATGAGAAGGTAATTTTATTTAATAATAAAATTATATTGAAAGTTTGTAAATATAGAATAAAGTTGTCGAATAGTAAGCACCTTACATAAAAGTTATATATTTTATTTTTCTCTTTTTATTTTTCTTTCTGCATCTAACTTTTAGAAATAGAAGATGTTCATGACTCTCTTTTCTCTCATTTATGATTGAAGACAAAAATTGTGATGTGAGACTCCATTGTATTATATTTAACTTTGACTGTTGAAGTTCAACTACGATATTACGTTAATTTTAGAGAGCAACTTCAACTTTTAAATTATATTTAAAATCTATTAAAAATTTGCTTTGCCACAATGAATTTAGTCATGATGCAATTATTTAATCATTCTATTTTCAACAACTATGTAACTAGCATCCTTTGCAACCAAGTTGAAGGAGAGGAGCACAACTTGTAGCTATACATAGCTCAGTTTGTATAAATTTTCAAAAAGTTTTTATAAAAAATATTATAAAAAGATAAATAAAATTTATTTTATAAGTTAAAAATAATTTATATTTTATATTTTTTTAAAATTTCTTTCATTTAACTTTTCTAAAATATTAAAAAAATTATTTTTAATAAAAAAATATTCATTTTTATATTTATTTTTTCTCCTATAAGTATTTTTCTCTAAAAAGTTACACAAACTAGTCATATCTACAAGTTCATTAAATAGTTAAATTATGAAAGTAATAAAACTCATTCAATTCGAGTCACTCATCTAAAAGAAGTCTTGTATGATTCTAACCTAACCAAATTGAATGAGAAGATATTTGTGATTGACAATTAGCCCTCGATTATTTTTTCTATATATAGTTGCTGCATTTGTTATTATCCTTTTAAAAAAGATATTTCTTTTGCTTTCTTTTACCTGTGAACACTAACTGTATGTTTAGAAAAAAAAAACGAGATAAAAATGTCAAATGAAATGGAATAATTTCAAGTTATACTGTTGATAGTTTTAAAAAAATAAGTAAAATAGAATCAAATATGAGAAAATCTTTTTATTTTATTGAATATAGTAATTTTAAATTTGAGAATCTAAGAAAAAACTAATTTATTTTTATTATATCATTTGAAATTAACCACTAAAATAAATAAATAATAACTTTGTTATATTTTATCTACTTGTTTGGGAAAAGGAAAATTTTTCTAAGGCCCTTACCAGATTTTTGTGATACAAAATAGACTATATTTTTCTAAGAAGACACACCTTGAAGATGATAGCATAGACATATCTTTTGACTAAAATCAAAGAGAATCTTAGGTTTCTATATCTTGCGAGCCACGGACCTATAAAAAACAAATCTAAGTCTAAAAAATTTGTCGAAAGAATTACTCTTCGACACATTTCCATAAAGACCAGCAGGGGAGTCTCATTTTTATGTCGAAAAGGATGTCACATTTTGAAGAGTTTTTGGGAAAGAACGGGAAAAATTTAAAGGAGTTTTAAAGGATCACAAAGAGAGTCTCATTTTTTTCTTGAAAAGAGTGCTACATTTCGTGGAGTTTTGAAGGGTAAGAAAATGAGCCTTAATTTTTGTTGAAAAAAAGGTTACATTTCAAGGAGTTTTGGATATTTTTGAATCCTAGATTGATAACATCCATAACTAGTCGAAAAAGAGTCTCTCACGGATTTTCCTTAAAACTTATCAAAATAGAAATTGACAAAGAAAATTATTTTAAACCCAAAAGATAGAGTGTAACTCACAGATTTTCTTAAAACTTGTCAAGATAGAAGTTGACAAGAAAAATTATTCTAAGTCCAAGAGATAGTGCAGCAGTTACCACCAGTTGAAGGTCACAGACACAAAGAACTGATAGTGGGCGATAACGACAATGGAGAAGGCACAATCACGGGCCATTATGTATAATGGGCGGGCAGTAGCAATTGAAAAGTACACACATAGCGAAAGAAGGAGACAATTGTGGTTCATCTATCTAAAAATAATACCAAAATTTACATTTACATAGGATAACTTTTTGCACCAAACAATAGTACTTAAATTTTATGCACACTAAAATTTTGCACTAAGCCAAACACCAACTATATCGTATGTTACATTTTTGCAATTTATTTCTTGCACTTTAATTCACTTTCAGTTTACTTTTGTAATCCTTTTACATTTAGTTTAATATTGGTTTTATTGTTCTATTATTGTTTCAATTACACCACACTGAAAAAAAATCTAAAAAAGGTCTAAAATTTAGTCTTAGATTATTCTTAAATTTATTTGTTTACTGATTACAATTTTCACCATAAACACTACTTCATTGATCAGTTTCATTTGATCAATTCCATGGATAAATGAAAAAAATAAAATAAAATTTGAGTAATAACTTTATTCTAATCCTAAAGCTAGCTCATTCATTTGGCATTGAGAGGGTTCCCCCACTACCAAATGAGACAAATAAGGCAGACCTGTGTCTGTCCATCTAACCATGCTACACAATTTATTAAGTTATTATTGTAAATGCTATCACACAAATTGGTACAATAGGTCCTACCTATACAGTGAAGGGTTACTCGTGCTTTCTTCCATCGTAACTCTCATTGCTCTTGCTTCGAATTCCACAAAGCTGTTGACCAAGATTCCATCAGCATAGTGCTTTGGAACGCAGAAGAAAATGCTTGTAAGCTTATCTAGATCGATCCTGAAGTGAGGTTTGGAGATCTCTTCCGTGAATTAACGGGTACACAACCTAACTGGGGCACATCCACAAAACATGCAAAGAATGGTTAAAAGTAAACAAATTTTTCTACTAATATATACATAAATAATTAATAATATTTTTTCACTACTAAACTTCTATGATTCTTTTCCATCTAAAATTCATCATAAATATAAAATAATATTTTTTTAATATCAAATTCAAGAAAATTAACACAATAGGACTAAATTTATTTACCTTTAAAAATATAGAATTTATTAACTCAAAAAAATTAGAATATGGAATTTCACAATTCAAACTAGCAAGATTAAAATTAAGAAAGTGTAAGAAAGGTCGCATCCGACCTTTTATTTCGTCAGTTTTCATTTTTTAAAGCAATCACTTACATAGTATAATAATATAATACAAAAAAACAACGGGTTAACATGCCATTGCTCTCCAATATATATATATATATATATATATATATATATATATATATATATATATATAACTGATCTTCAAAATCACAATTTAGAGAACAGTCACGTTACCGTTATCTAATTTTATTTTATTTTTTCTATTTTAGTGTTTAAATCTATTTCTCCACCAATACAAAATATTTTTAATCCTCCAATGATACGAAGTCATTCTATTAAGATCATGATACTATGTAAGAATGCTTTTCCTCAATTATATTTTTTTAAAATAAGATATTTCTATAAATGATTCATTGTATATATGGGTTACTGTTGAGTGTGCAACAAAGAAACTACGATACTTTACCGAGGATATAGGTAGCAACTTTTATTTACCTAGCACATCCTCACAATGACTTCCTCACCATGATAAAATAAAAATAGAAGAATAATAACCAAACAAAGCATGATCCTTGCCATAGGATTCCAAAAGTCTATCTCCTTCCTATATATTTCTATTAATACTTTTCCATCTAGCTGTTGATTGATACAGGGATTTTGAGGAGCACCCATCTTCTTTTAGGGCATCAGTAGCAGCTTCTTTTAATCCCTTCATTACTTTACGCATTTTTTCACCTTCAACATCCATCAGACTCTTTATGACTCGAGCAACTTCTTCCTTTTGCACTAGACCATTGCCATTAATATTTGCCCTTAATGCCACTTTAAGGCCATCGCTTAACATAACTGCATTCATTCTTTGCTCCGCAAAGAGAGGCCATGCTATCAATGGCACCCCTTGCAGCACACTCTCAAGGGTCGAATTCCACCCACAATGACTCAAGAACCCACCAATTGAACTGTGACTAAGGATTTTAATTTGGGGTGCCCATGATGGAATCACCAACCCTTGCCCTTTGGTTCTCTCCAGGAATCCATATGGTAAAAAATTGAATGGGTTCTCATTTTGGGCACTAAGATAAGCACTGCTGGCTGAGTTACTTGGTGCTCTTGCAACCCACAAGAACTTATGATTACTCAGTTCTAAGCCCAAAGCTAGTTCAGTAATTTGGACTTGTGATAATGTGCCACCGCTTCCAAAAGAAACATATAAAACAGACTTTGGTGCTTGTTTGTCCAACCAGCTTAGACACTCAAACACATTGGGCTCATTATTATGCCTTACCCCTATTTCTGTGACTGGGCCAATAGGATAAATAGGTGGGTTTCCATTTCCCTCCTTAGTCAATGCTCTTATGGGGCCTTCTTCCATTTCAATGAAGCTATTAATGAAAATTCCATCCACGAAACAAAATCGTTTAACGCGTTCAAGGAATAGTTTGTAGCCTTGACTTGATCGATCTTGAATTTGGTAATGAAGATCATGGCCTTGTATTGGCACACAACCAGGCATTTGAATAGGTTCTAGAAGATCCCTAAACTCACATGAGGTGTCCTTATCCAACTTGGGCAAGTGAAAGTACATTGAAAGTGTGAAAGCCGATTTAGGGAAGTAAATATATGACAACAAGTTGAACTCCTTAGCAAAATCTAATGCTTCATAGGCAAAGTTATCAACCACCAAGGCCACAAGGGGAGTCCTTGAATTCAAGGACTTTAAGACATTTTGTATAAATGGGAGAGAGTAAGTCACTGTGAGTTGCATTTGGACTCCAGTTTCAAGACCATGTGGTAGGTCATGAGGGTCCACTGGTGGAAGAAAACTTAAGGTTATGCTTGGTGGAAGAGTTTTAAGAAAGGTTTTTGAGACACTTGGGAGCGATCCAAGTGTAGGAATGATGGATGTGATATGCAAGTCTGGGTGGAGATGAACAAGTCGTTTGGAGAACTCAAGAATGGGAAATAGATGGCTAAATCCAGGACCAGGAATAACAGCTATGTGAGTTGTTTTCTCCATGTATGTATTGTAGTGTTACTCTAAAAGTAGAAAGCTAAATGGGTTGTGGATGTGTAGGAAAGATTGATAGACCATTTTATACACATCTTTTATAGTCATTCAAATTTGATTTAAAATTTTCTTTATCAAAAAATGCATTTGTACATCTTTACCAATTTTTAATTTTGTTTCTCAATAATTTTATCTTTTCAAAGTTAACATTTAACATAATCGAGGAGAGTATTTAATTATTACTTTTCAAATTTATTATTAGTTGTTTATGATGATGGATTAATTAATTATTTGTGAATAAACGTGATCAGAGTGAAGAAACGTGATCTGCACATGAAAGAACGTGATTTGCACGTAAAGAAAGAAACGTGATCTGCACGTGAAAAAATATGATCTACACGTAAAGAAACATGATTAGAGTGAAGAAACCTGCACATGAAGAAACGTGATCTACACGTGAAGAAAAGAAACGTTATATGCACGTAAAGCAACGTGATCATAGTGAAATTATGAGTGAAGAAACATGATCTGGTGTGAAGAAATGTAATTTGCATGTAAAGAAACGTGATCAGAGTGAAGGAACGTGATCCTGAAGAAACATGATCTGTATGTAAAGAAACGTGATCTACACTTAAAGAAACTTGATCAGACTGAAGAATGCACTTAAAGAAATGTGATCAGAGTGAAGAAACCTGAAGAAACGTGATTTGCACGTAAAGAAAGAAACGTGATCTGCACGTGAAAAAATGTGATCTACACGTGAAGAAATGTGATTAGAGTGAAGAAACCTGTACATGAAGAAACGTGATCTACACGTGAAGAAAAGAAATGTTATATGCACTTAAAGAAACGTGATCATAGTAAAATTATGAGTGAAGAGACATGATCTGCGTGTGAAGAAATGTAATCTGCACGTAAAGAAACGTGATCACAGTGAAGAAATGTGATCCGTACCTAAAGAAACGTGATCTGTATGTGAAGAAACGTGATCTACACTTAAAGAAACTTGATCAGAGTGAAGAATGCACTTAAAAAAATGTGATCAGAGTGAAGAAACGTGATCTGCACATGAAGATACGTGATTTGCATGTGAAGAAACTTGATATGTATGTGAAGAAACGTAATCTAAGCTGAAAGAAGTGTGATCAGAGTGAAGAATGCACATAAAGAAATGTGATCGTAGCGAAAAAACTTGAAAAAACGTGATATGTACTTGAAGAAACATGATTATAATAAAATTAGAAGTTTTTTTTTTTTTTTTGCTTAAATAAGGTGAATGAAGAAATTAATTCTTCCTATAAGGTGATTGACAACAAACACGTTGTCCGAATTTCACATGGTATAAATGTAGTAAAATCTAGTGTTGGCACAAATTTATTATTATTATTTTTAATTATAAGTGTCGTTAAACTACCTACTAAGACATACTAATACGGGATGAAGCTGGACACATATTCTATTTCAAACAACACAAGCTAACATCTTTATAATAAACTTATACAAATAGTATAACTTATTAATTCATTGGTATTTTATTTTATAAAAAATATACAAATAATTTAATAATCAAAAAATAAAATTTTATATTCTATAAATAATTATATATAATAAAATTATTTTAAATAATAATTTAATATAGTTTTGTAATTACAAATAGTATGTTTAAAATTATAAATATTTAATAAAATTAAATAAATTTAAAATATAAGTTATTTAAAATAATATTTTTATTATTTACTATAAAAAATATTTAATATATATTGATAATCATAAATTTAAGAAACAAATCTCTTAATAAATATTTAAATTTCAAATAATTTTTATAAATATAGAAATAGATATTTATAAAAAAATAAAAAATAAGTAAAACTTTTATAATCTTTTTCCTATAGCAAGCTTAGACAATTAATTAATATTAATGTAAGAATCCAGACTCATTTAACCTCCGGCCTAATCCAGCCTAACCCATTTCCATCATTAAAACTACCCTTTTATACTTTGTATATATTTAAAATTAAAATTAATTAATATTGATGTAAAAATTATATTTTCTCTTGTTGTAATTATTTTTAATTTTTACTTAAATATGTTTCAAAATTTAGAGATAAAAGTTGTTACTTATTTTTTCCTTAAAATTTTATATATTTTTATAAATATTTATTTTATATTTACAAAAAAATATTTTATTTTATTTTCAATTAGAAATATTATTGAAATTATTCTTCTACAGTTTGTACATGTTGAAATTAACTAAGGTGAACTACACTATCTTATATTGATAATTTTATTTTTTTATTTAATTATATTTCAATTTTTAAATATAAAATATTGTTACTTATTTTTTTTTTATATAAATTTTATTTTTATAAATATCTATTTTTATATTTATAAAAATTATTTTAAATTTAAATATTTATTAAGAGTTTTATCTCTTAAATTTATGATTATCAATATATATTAAATATTTTTTACACTAAATAATAAAAATATTATCTTAAATAACTTATATTTTAAATTTATTTAATTTTATTAAATATTTATATTTTTAAACATACTATATGTAATTACAAAACTATATTAAATTATTTTTAATTATTATTTAAAATAATTTTATTATATATAATTATTTATAGAATATAAAATTTTATTTTTAATTATTAAATTATTTGTATATTTTTTTAAAATAAAATACTAATGAATTAATAAATCATACTATTTGTGTAGATTTATTACAAAAGTATTAGCTTGTGTTGTTTGAAGCATAATACGGATAATAGGAGAAGAGAGAAACAAAAAATGAGAGTAATGAAGCAATAAACTATAACTCATTAAATAAGGCTAGTAAGAGAGAGAAATTGAGTGTAAGTCAAATAGTATTATAAAGTGTAGTCATTAGATGTAAGTTAGATGAATGGTTATGATTAGGTACAAGAGTTTTATACTTATACTGGTATAAGAAGATCTTACTCCTATATATATATATATACGCACACACACACACATATATATATATATATATATATATATATATATATATATGTGTGTGTGTGTGTGTGTGTAAATTGAGAATTATAAAACAATTGAACTAAAAATATATATGGATTAATTTTTTTTTTGTATTTTTTGCATGTATAAAATAAGAAAATAGGAAAATAAGATAATAGAAATTTATTTTTTTAAATTAGAATTATCAGGTATGCAATGAAAATATATATTACATTATTTATATTATTTTAGATTTTTTAGGTAAAATTTTTTATTTAAAAGTAAAACTAATGTTTATATTTTTAGTATTGTAAATATTATTACGTTAAAATAACTAAATTTTAAACATATATTTCAAAAAATTAATTCTTGATCAGGGTGTTCCCAATTAATAGTAGTATAGTGTGAATTTATATTCCAAAAAGTGTTATAGAATATGTATTAAACTCTTACAATGTTAGTTAATAAAAATTTACAATTAATTTATTATATAAAATAATACCTGTTGATTATTGTTGCACATTGTTGTTTCTTTCAATGTTTAGAATATTGATCATTGAATCAAAATCATCATCCAAATTAATATTAGAAGAACTTCCTAAAGGAATTTTCCCTTTATCTTCATAGTCGTCTTTTTCATCATCTTCTTCATCTCCAAGTCCTAAGTTGACATGTTTTTTAATAAATTAGTAAATTTGAGACATAATATTATTTAAAAAATATTATATATTACCTCTTCTAGTAGCATATTCTTCTTCATTGTCACTTAAATTAACGGGTGAGAGTGATAAATTTAAACATAATATTTATGCAACAACATGAGAATTTTAACCAATAGCAATATTCATATATAACTCAACTACATTTCTTTGATATTGTTATTGACATACATTATGCAGCCAATGTCTTCATCATCATATACATCTAAAATTGTGTGGTTTCCACTCCTTGCATAAACTAAAATTCGTGAAATTAGTCTAAATTACATTACTATTAGACAATATCAATTTTGTATGTATCTTTCTTTTCAACATCTCAAAAGTAATTTCATTTTTTATGTTAATCATTTTCTTGTTTACTTCAAATATTACATTACCGCTAGAGAATCTTGGGTTCCTACATATCTTTCGAGTTTTGGGGCATAGACATATCTTTCCTAGATTAAAAACATTCATAACTAGTTGAAAAAGAATCATGAATTTTCCTTAAAACTTGTCAAAATAAAAATTGGCAAGAAAATTTATTCTAAGTCCATGAGACAAGGTGAAGGTCACAGATTTTCCTAAAAACTTGTCTAAAATAATTGAAAAAAAAATTATTTTAAGTCCAAGAAACAGTGTAGAGCTCATAAATGTGGTTACCACATTTTGAATGTCAAAGACACGAAGAACCAATCGTGAGCAATAATGATTATGGAAAAGGCATGATCATGGACCATTATAGATAATGGACGGTAGCAGCGGTTAAAGAGAAACACACACAGAAGACCGTTACCAAAGAGTGTTTGTGAAAGAAAGAGAGTGATTGTGGTTCATCTGCCTATAAATAATACAAAAATTTACATTTAATGGGGACGACTTTTTGCACCAAACACTACCACCTAAAATTCTATGCACATTGAAATTTTGCGCTAAACCAAATACTAGATATCATCAAGAGATTTATAGTTGTAGTTGTTATTGTTCACTACGAGAGTTGTACCTTACATTTTTGTAATTTGTTTCTTGCAATTTAATTTATTTTCAGTTTATTTTTGGTAATTCTTTTACATTTAGTTTAATATTGGTTTCATTATTCTATTATTGTTTCAATTATAATACATTTAAAAAAATACAGAGAGAACCTAAAATTTAATTTCAAATTATTCTTAAATTTATTTATTTACTGATTACAATTTTTACCATAAACACTACTTCATTGATCAGTTTCATTTGATCAATTCCATGGATAAATGAAAAAAATAAAATAAAATTTGAATAAAAACTTTATTCTAATCCTATAAGTATTTTTTCTCTAAAAAGTTA